ATTGTATTGTATTGTATTGTATTGTAAAAGTCATAAAAAATGTTTAGAGCTTCAAGTAAACTAAGTGAGTTTATCTGCTTTGGTTAATTTTTTTTTGCAACAGAAAGGGGATTGTGACAAGTCACCCCCCTCTCCACCCCTGAATCTACAAGAGCATCCTCCATATCCAAAGATTCAGTCAACTTTTTGGGGCCCTCTTCCCACTCACTATGCCGCTGACCCAGGGCAGTTAAAGGGTGGTATACTTGCTTGATTTAGGAATCTCAACCAGAGTTCTTGACTGATGAGTAAGCATGTATATCTGTGAGATCATTACTTTACTTCAATTTCTTTTATGATTACAGAAATTATTTAGTTTTTGCCCAGAAGAAGAGGATACTATGTTGCAAGGTAAGCATTCAATAATATCATTTTATTTGATGGCATCAGTGGAATATCCATTTGCTTCAAAATGTTTAACGTCATTACATAACTATCACTAGAATGTAATATATTTCTCGTACACTCTTTCTTATTCAGTTGTTGAAGATTTCAGTGTTATGTGATCTTGGAAGCTGCAAGCTTCATGCAATTATTTGCATTGGTTTTTCACTTCAATCAATCAAAAATAATCAGTCAGTACCTTATATATTTTTGACTGGCAGCAGTGAAAACCAAATTTCAATGGACAACTCTCAACTACTGAGTTCGGGGTAATATTGTCTTATTCTCAAGAGGGAATAAAAATTTATAAATAAAAAAACTATTTGCAAAGCATCTTCATTGGTAGTTGTAAGATGAAGCTACCATTGAAAAAGACTAACATTTTTGTTATAAATTATATTTTTTGCCACTTAATAAATATTAGATGCAGAAAAAAGTACTAATTTAATCATCATCAATGACAGTCCTGTAGATGTAGGACATGTTCTGTTGGTACCCAGTATTAACAAGTGTCTTCCTCAGGTTTGTGTCTATATACTAGATGTACATAGCTGTAGTGTCACTTATGGCTCAGTAATGAAGTTAATGATAATGGATGATAATGTTGATGATGATGAATGATGATGATGCTTGTGGTTCGTGGTGATGATGCTGATGCTGATGATTGATGATGATGCTGATGCTGATGATTGATGATGATGCTGGTGCTGATGATGATGGTGATTGTTGATGATGCTGGTGATGATAGCAATGATAACGGTGGTGGTGATGTTGATGATGATGATGCTTGTGATGATGATGATGAATGATGATGCTTGTGGTGGTGATGATGGTGATTGATGATGATGCTGGTGATGATAATGATAATGGTGGTGATGATGATGATGATGATGCTTGTGATGATGATGATGATGAATGATGATGCTTGTGGTAGTGATGATGGTGATGATGATGCTGGTGCTGCTTATGATGATAATTGTTGATGATGTTGGTGATGATAACAATGATAATGGTGGTGATGATGTTGATGATTAATGATAAGGATTAATGATGTTGTTGATGATTGGTGATGATGATGTCTTTCATAATGATGATGATGATGATGACGGTGGTGGTGTGGTGATAATGATGGTGACTGATAATAAATGTTGCATGTTTCATGTTTTCTTAAGGTCCTTACGGAGGAGTCACTACACTTGGCACTTGATATGATGCTGCTAAGCAAACACAGGTATAAGCCTTCACTTACAACAATCTTGAGCAGCTTGAAGATGATATCCTAACTATTAAACAAGAGAAAAGGAGGGGGACCTCTTTAAAGGAAGTAGAACATCTTCCTGATTATCCTCTTCAATTTCTACTGCTTCCCTTCATTACCCCCTCTCGCAGTTTCGTGAGGTCCCAGTATGCAGTGACATTGATGAGCTTAGAATTGCCAGTGGAGGCTATAGATCAATCTAGCCAAGTTAACTTTTTTCAGGGGTCTCAGAGTTTGCTGGAATAGTCTTGGTGCCTTAGCTAGTGTCAATCACCTGCATTTCCATGCCATGTTCTTGGATCACTCACTCCTTGTTGAAAAAATTGTAAGTGGGACAGTAAATAACTTTTCTCTTTTGCTTTTACTCTCAAACAGCCAATCAGAATGCATGATTTCTTTGGATATCAAACTGGAAAAAACTATAGCATATCTCAAAAGCATTCTGCAGAACTTGCTTTAAAATTGTTGGCTTTCAACTTAAAACCATTTAACATATTTATGATTTGAATAGGATGCTGTACATTTAGCTTGTAGTTGTTATGAAGTTGTAAATCAGTCCACTAGAGGATTTGCATTTCAGCTTCACGGAAACACAATCAACACCCTAGCAAGGTGAGTGCATGGGTGCTGAATACTTTCACTGGTCACTTTGGTGTGTATATGTTTGTCTATCTAAGTGTGACTGTTGTTGGGCTGACTTGTGGCTTAGGCCCTGGCTAAACAAGGAAACGAGTTTCCAGAAACATGTTTACCGCGCACATGTTTCCTCGATGTTTCCAAGTTTAGCCACAAGCAAAACATTGCTATGTGCAACAAATTTTGCTTCCAAGACGCAAAAATCTTTTTGCTGTGCGGCAGAAACATTTCATGCTTCCAAGATGCATGGAAACAATGTTTCCTCGTTTAACCACAAAAGTCAACATTCTAAAAGTTCATTACTTTGCAATGCTAGCTCTATCTTGAAAGTGCGCATACGCTTACTGATATTGAATAAACATGTTTCCTGATGTTCCCTGACTTTTTTGCCACCTTTGGAAACATTTAAGAAAACATGTTTCCTCGTTTAGTTACCTTGAAAACGTGCTAAAATTGCTAGCTTGTTGCTTGGGTTTGAAAATGGCACCTCCAATTCCCTTCAATCTGAATGACATGTTGACCCAGGCAGCTCCAACAGTAACGTGGCTAGTTAAGAGGTCACAACAAGACTGCTTAATCTAAACGTTCATTTTCTTTAACCAGACTTATCTTCAAGGTGTCATGTTACTTGACTGACAGACAAGTTCCTCACAATATGTGCATGAGTCGCGGTGATGCATTTCCTTTAGCCATGCAGGAAGAAACACCAAACAAGATTGATGAGCCCACAACAATTAGAGTCTTGCTGTGGCCTAAGAAACCAATGTTTGGTAAGTTGTGGCCTATTCAATCTCATTACATTCTCATTTGCTATGGAGCTTTTAAGTTGGGACGTATTTCCTGRTCCACAACTGCTTGCAAGAGCCGCTAAGCAAAAACTGTCTTCATTTGTTGAACGTCCACTTGAAAAAATTAGAACGTTGGACAACAAATCCTGTCATGAAGAAACAGTAAGAAAAATCTTGAATAGTTTATTTGTCTGGTTTTAGTTTTGGACCAGGAAGCCGTTGTTCTATGCGATTGACGTCATAATTAAAAGCTCTACTGGGTGTATAGGGTAATAAACGATGATCTCCGGACAAGTGCTCAGGCAAGGGTGGAAATCAAGAACTCAGTGCATTAATGGTGTCATAGCGCCTCTCTCACCTCTGTGTTCTCGGGTTCATATATCACATGTGAGTAGAGTTTGTTAGGACTCAATTGATTTGTGAATTTTTTCCCCGGCCCTCTTTTCCTCTGCAAAACCTAACGCCCTTGATTTCAATTTGATCTGTAAGTTAGCCGACTGACTTTCGTCAGCCCAGTTGTTTCAGGTTATACCTGTGAGTTAGCCGTTCCCTGACTTAAGATCGGTCCAGAGGTTGTTTTAGGGTTTGATCTGTAAGTTAACCGTGCCCTGACTTTGATCAGCCCAGAGGTTGTTTCAGCCAGGGTATCGATAAAATTTGAAGGAAAATTTGAAAAAGATATAAAAACCCTGTGTAGGCAAGTAAACCTTCCGTTCGTTACTAAGCAACGTTTTTCTTAGAACCTTCAAATGAKTACCAAAATTAGCGCGCGGTGCGCGCAGCCAGAATATCTACAGAATCGCAATCATATCAAGTTTATTTGTCATGGTTACCCACAAGTCATACAATAATCTTGCACATGACTGGAAATTTTTTCACAATGCAGAGTARATAAGAGCAGCCACATAATTAACGACTAAACCTAAACATAAGCGCATTAGTCATTTTCTGTTGATGTATTTAAAGTCACACGCTTACTGTGATTGGTTTAAAACTGTGCTTTCTAAGAGGAGCACGGYTATGCGTCTATCAGCCTCAGCTCTAAAACATTGCAGAACTATATCGAAAACTACAACATTACAAACTAAAAACTAGAACATATTTTCATTAAARAAAGCTAATTTTCTCGTGCTCCGTCCTGTAGTACAAGCTGATACAGCACTCACTTCGTTCCTAAAGCAGTCTTCTTTCGTTTTTTCGTCACTTYCCRTGTGCTGCCTGTATAACTGAATGGAAAATGCAAAAAGCTGTTTTTTTCCTAACAACTGATGTATACCAGTTTGGCTATAAAAATGTGCGATATAAAAATACTAAACATTGTCTAGTAAACTGAGAGCTGTAGCTAGGATAATYAAAGTCTCGATAAAAATGTCAGTGAGTGATTTATTGAATGCGTTTGACTCTCTTTTTGTCTTTCTGTTCAGCTATTTGTTTGTTGTCTGTTTGCCTGTTTATGTTTGCTGCAGTAAAAAGCTACCCTAAAAAGCTTCTGAACTATAGCTGCTTCTGAACAGATCCGTTAYTGCAACTTCATGCTTTAGTATGATCAAGTGAGACGTTCCCTGGAGGCTGGCTTTTATTGGGTTGTGCGTCGTCGATTTGCAACTTTTTGCTGACTCGAGCTCGAGAACGACGGCAATAAAGGAAAATGGCAATAAACATCAGCAAAGCTAACGCAATCCCACCGACCGCCGAACATGTTATTATGATGGTATAACTCTGCTTTTTCGGGCTAACCACTTCTGACACTGTTCCTGACTCCGACTTCTTGAGATTACCGCCAAGGTGTGGAAAAGCTCTGTCGACGACTTGCGCGAATTTCACATTCAGATGCTCATGCACGAACCTTGCCGTTACAAACTCAAACTTTTGGCATTCACTTTTCCGTGCGCAACGCAGAAGTTCTTCACACAATGGGGGAAGCTGTTCAACCCAACGTGGAACTGAAGCGGTGTCATTATCATGGTAAGCATTCAGGTCGTACCAGAAGTTTCCTGTGCGGGCTGTGACGCGACGTATCGCAGCAATCAAGGAGAGATATTCACTCCATGTAAGYTCATGACGACAGAATGTGGTACTTATTGGKGTGAATAGCTGACCAGCTGAATTCTCTGCTGCATCGCAGTCGGTGGAAAGAGTATATATTGGCCCATCGTTTCTCTGTCCCTCATTACCATATCTGTGTACGGTTTTGTCTACTACCATATGGTCAGCGGTAAAACCATCATATGTGGTTTGATTTTGACCTTGTGCAACAAGGAATACCGCTTCCACTTTGCACCAGGCAGACTTCTTCTCGGACCCAGTGACTCCACGAATGACATCTCCTTTGGCAAGCTTCGAGATGGGAATGTAACCTTTGGTCTGCTCTGATACTTTCATCTTACCAGATACACAGCTCTCAGGAAGGTGTATATGGATATCGATTATTCCAGCATGAGTTATGGAGCCAATGGAAATAAAGGTCCAGATCGCAAACAACATTATCATTTGCTTCATTATGCTGGCGGCTTCTAAAGTAAGATGTGCCTGAAAAGTATAAAAAGTCATATTCATTTTCATTCAGATTCAGCTCAGTTCAGATCATAGCAAATCAAATATATTCATTTAAAAAGGTTTTCTACAATTACTCAGACAAAAAGTTACRAGCAACAAATTTTGAAAAGTGGAAAATGCAAATTATTATTAGCGGTCTCACTAGTGCGCATGTATGAGAACTGGTTAGCAATATAAATATAGTCAATAGTTTAACTCACTATTTCAAATTTTAAGGCAATCAATCGAGTTGCAGTCAAACCAGCTCATGCGTTCCTATCCTATTTCCATCCTGCTTTGGAACTTGCATTAATGAAACGAACGTCGTCAATTTCAATCCCGGCCTTTATCTCAAAACTTCAAAATGTTCATTTGTGAAAGGCATGACCTTTTGAACAAAACAATACACCACACAAACAACTTTAAAATAGCAGCTACAATAGACGACTTGCACTAAGAAATCACGTGATCAAATCGGCCATTGTGGCTTGCATTCTACAGGATTTTAGCTATGCGAGAATGTAAAAAAAGATGGCGGATTCGGGTAGTTTTTTTGGTGACGAAAGGTAAGTTAGCGCACTAAATAACTATAAAAATCCCCTTTTCTCGCAAGAAATATATTTTTAGTAGATATCTGAAGTAGATTTTTGCTATTGACTAGCCAAGAAGAGAAAAAAATATGGTATTTTTGCGATAGGATGTGAAGACCTACGAAGTGTTTAGTCTCGTTTTGCTGGCTTCATGACCTCAAAACATGCAATATTTTTCCTCTTCCTGGCGAATGAATAGCAAAATCCTACTTAAAATATCAATTAAAAGTATATTTCTTGCAAGAAAATGCCGTTTTCAAGAATGAAGTTGAAATATACTTGAAAAGTTTTGACAAGAAGTCGTTGTTTTAAGGTCATGAAGCCGGCAAAACAAGACTAAGCACTTCATAGGTTTTCACATCCTATCGCAAAAAATATCTTTTGTTTTCTCTTCTTGGCTAGTTTATAGCAGAAATCTACTTTAGATATCTACTAAGAATATATTTCTTGCAAGAAAAGGGGATTTTTATAGTTATTTAGTGCGCTAACTTACCTTTTGTCACCAAAAAAACAACCAGAATCCGCCATCTTTTTTTACATTCTCGCATAGCTAAAATTATGTAAAATGCCAGCCACAATGGCGGATTTGATCACGTGACCTCTTAGTGCAAGTCGTCTATTGTAGAAATAATTTTAGCTTTGCACGAATCTGTGAAGAACTAAATAAGCTTTTAATCCGAGCCCATTTTTCAAATTTGCAACATTCGTTTCATTAATGCGGGCAAACTTCAAAGCAAGATGGAAATCAAACTTCCAATGATAAAAAAGTGAATCTTTGAACCTTGATAGGAACGCATGAGCTGGTTTGACTGTAAAATTATTATAAGATATTTTTTGGGAAAAAGAGAAATAGGTATGTTTAAAAATTGCAATTTAGCGTGCATGACATCAATTTAGTTATAATCTACAATAATTTATGATAAATGTGCTATACACTATATAGTCTATGATAAATGTGCTATACACATCAAACTCATTCCAGAAAAGAAAGTTGAGGTCTAGTTTTCGAGAAAATAAGCAGTAAACGATTTCTATGATGTCATCATGACGTCATAATGAAAAGGCCGCTTTAAACTAATTTATCATTATTGAAACCTTTAATCCTTTCCTGACATTGTGAAAAGTGCTTGCAGATCGAGTTATTCAAGAAGAAATTGTAGCCGTTTCAATGCGGCTAGGTGTGCCAGACCAAAACTACCCAGAGCCTCCTTAAATGTACGGGATTAGCTCGGGGATTAGCTGTCTGCACTATTACATTCCAAGATTGCCTAGAAACATATAAGCGTCGCATTCTGGCTGTCACCAATATAATTTCGGGTATCTAGCTTATTGCCTCAATAATACTCACGAAGGTACTGGCTTACTCTCTGGTGGTCTTTTAATTTTGTTACTCCCTAAGAGGTACCAAATCGCTGATCTGGAACCCTTACAGGTACGACAAGCATCCCCGCTTTTTTAGAATCAGAGTCCCCACTCCCATGGCGTTTTGTTGAAGTTGCTTCGTGTAGCAAACTGGCCATCGAATTTTTCGCGCAAAATAAACTTTTCTACAACATAAAAACACACATTTGGCAAGAGTAAAAGTTTGGGCATATAGCCATCTCAATACCTGGTTCACCAAACACATATTTCATCTTTACGAAATATGAACTAGGATAGGAGTTCTAACTTCTCTAACGCCACTTAAAAATGTTTTTTCCGAGGAAACACTCTGTTTATCGAAACCTACTTAAAAAAGTAAGGAGATGATATAAAAGAAGCTGGAAATATTGTACCAAGATATATAAAACTAGCTGGAGATAGTTAGGAGTTCGATAAGGAGTAAAATCCAATGGTTTTATCAAAAAATTAATAAGTAGTTTAATTCTTGGACTCTGTGCAAACGACGAGGACGTTTAATAAGAAAAAAAAAAGTTTTTGGTTTGTTCAGAGAAATAGTTCAAAACAAACCGAAAAAGGGTTACATGACTCACTTACCTTAAACAGCGGAATATGAGTCACTTTCTCAAACTCTTGCCGGACTGAAGACAAAAATAAAAGTGAAGGCTGTGGATCAACATCATCCACCTTATCTTTTTTGGAAATTCACTGTTATGTATTTACTCCGAGATATTCATGAATACCAGCGTTAAAGTAAATAATGCACAACTTTGCCGCGTCAACAATACGTAAGAGTTAATTACTTCGAACGGAGGCAATAATATACATTAAGTATATGGGGTAATTAAGTATTTTATAGGTAATTAAGTATTTTATGTACTGTTTAATAAACGAGCAGGAGTGTTTTATCGGGTATAAAACACGAGGCGCAGCCGAGTGGTTTTAGACCCGATAAAACACGATCTGCGAGATTATTGAACGGCTTAGAAAACTTATGATGTTTGTTCTCATTGTGTACCGATTTTTTTACGAAATGAACCAAGTTTGATAGAGAAAATCCAAGTTAAAGTTTATGCAAATGAAGACGAATCTTTATCCGATATAAAATCACCTTCATGGTCATGATTTCTATTGTGTTTTCTTCATGAATTATTAATGAGTTTTCTAATTATCAATTGAGAAGGTTTTCTATCAAATGTTGCTCATTATAAATGCGAACGGTCTATATATAGTTATTAACCGGGTTAATAACTATATATTGACCTCGCATTTATAATGAGGGTTCTAACAAAAATAAAGCCTTGCGAATAACAAAGAAAACTGTGTCAATTGATAAATAAAAACACTTTGAAATTCCACAAAGTCGAGGCTGGCCCTAAGCAACAGGGAACTCGAAACTGGAGTATTACTTCCGCCGGTTCAAAATGAAAAAAAATCTGTAAAATGTATTTCATATTTCTTTATCATTTCCTTATTGTTTATTTGTTCATTTTTTGCTTCTTATTATTTTCTATTGTTTTTATATGAAACAAGATCGAATAAAAGTAAAACACGTAGTAAGAGCTCAGCTCATTTCCACGAAACCAAGTCACACGTCTGGTTTTTATTTTTATAACGCTACGACTAGACAATAACGGCGTGAAATATCCTTTAACGTCGGCTGGAATGTCTATTTCTTTAATATGTTTGACACTGGCAAATATAAGCTGTCTTTAAAATTGCATTCCAAGGTTGCATAGAAACATACTAGGTCAATTTAGTAACAATATTTCTTATTTCAAATAAACTTTACCGTTTGGTCATCGTGGAGAGGAAAAGGGGGAATTGTAGGCAAGAACTAGGTTTAGATTCTAAAACCACTCTTAACCAATCGATTTTGATTGGCCTCAGTCCCGGAGTTGTAGAAAAGCATTGCATTGTGGGGCTATCTTGGAGGATGCTTCCTAAGACAGTTGGCATTTTGTGATTCAAGAAACGAGGGAAATTTGAAAATTAACACGACAATTAAGGTTTCCTATCATGTACTCTTCAGTATCGGCAAGCAAAAAGACGCCATAAAAAATATTAAAGGTCTTTAAAAAGCGTCCATTAAAACAGCCCCATGATGCAACGCTTCTGCCACTCATGAAATTTTCGCGATACCCATTGGTGTCGTGAAAATACGATACGAAAATTACAAGTGACAGCTATCGATCCAGATAAAGGCTAAATAGTTAGTAACAGAAATCATTTTCTATCGTGAAATATTTACTCTTTTGTTGCGTAAAAAAGGTCATTTTGTTTAAATAGTCTGTGTGTGTAGAAAAAAATATAGATGATTTACGCAATAAATCGCGAAATAAAAGTGACTGAAGAATCCCCCCCACCCCCGTAAAAAAGCGAAATATGCGACCTCCAAAATCGCGAACTTACCCTGTCGATTTTTGAAGTATTAGCCTGGCCCCTTCCCCAATCCAAAATGGCAATCCTTTTCATGCAATATCTTTAATAAGTACATTGACTGATCTGGCCTGTTTAATATGATGTTTTGTTCGACAGACTTTAAAGATGATCCTCCATTTCTGAATGCCTGTATAGAGCCAGGAGGATTCCTAGTGATGAAAGGTATGAATCTTTGGACAAAAACCAAGCGATTGCTCGGTCCTGATCATAAGTAGGAACCTGAAATCGTCAATCCTACCATACCTTATTGCATTTATCCATTTTGAAATCACTGGGGATTATCAGCTGCAATCTGTCTGGTTCTCAGCAGTGCAATTTAATCACAAATCGCACCATTTTGAGTTTAAAATCATACTGTTTTGAAGAGCCAATGAAATTGTAGAAAACATAGCATTTGACTAATCACATCACAGAAAAAAAGAAACGAAAGGAAAAAGTGAAGGGGATTTTTTGGATAAAAGACATTTTTTTGACTAAATTTTACACTAAAATTAAAATTGAAATTGAAAAGTAAATCTGGTATCATTTTAGGAGATTTCAAGATGGATATGATTAAGTGGTAATTTAACTTTGTGTCGTATGATTTTGGTCTGAAATCAAACTTATAGGCTACACAGCCCTGCAATTTTGTTGTCGCTCATTTGATTTCAGGCCAAATTGCACTCCCCTCGGTTCAATCAACATTATGAGTAACGTGGCTAGATAAGAGGTCACGACAAGACTGCTTAATCTAAACGTTCATTTTCTTTAACCAGACTTATCTTCAAGGTGTCATGTTACTTGACTGACAGACAAGTTCCTCACAATATG